AAATTAAAAATTGAAGCTAATGATTAACCCTAGAGGAAGAAACTATCTCAGTGCAATGCTCTTTGAATCATAGATAAAACGAAAAGTGAAAATTGACAAATAATTGTGCCCTTGTCTTTAATAGTTTTTGAAAGGAATTTCCATCTAAGCACTTTCAATATTAAAGTTGTCATTAAAAGACTTATTTTAAGTAATAGAATATATAATATATATTGTTGTTGGAAGAAAAGCGTAATAGATAATTTTGTTAATTACTTTCATTATTAGACAGAATTTACTCAATTTTAGTACAGATTTTATCAAGAGTAGTGAACAAAATTTGCGCTTGTTTAACTTTAAGTTAATTTGTGTGCCTGTTAAAGATCAACAACTTAATTTCCAAACTCCAATACGAAAGTCCGAACACCAAGTGAGATAACGATCGTGCTGACCAAAGCATGTAACACCGACAGTGCTACTTGCAACAGCAACAGGTGATTAAAATTCATACAATAGCGCTGGAGGAGCGGCAATAACAGCAAATGAACAAGCTGTGAATCCGCATTTTATTGCACTGGAAGATCAGAGATCGCATAATTGTGCGTTAAATCTAACAATGTTAAGCGTTAAGCTCTTAACACTTAGCGCTCACTGTTCGGTGATAAGCGTTGAGCATACCTCTTGTGCGTTTATGTAAATTATTTTGTTTCCATTTAATTCAACCTGATTGTCACTTGAAACTGTTCACGGATTTGTTTACTGTCTTCGTGAAATTCACGATTATTGGAATGCATAATTGAATATCCTCAGAGTTGGAGTGTTTACTGTAAATTACTGTTATATAGCTTATTCAGACGACACATGTTAATGATCTCTTTAATTGCTTATTCAATCTTAATTGAATTACTGCTGTTATCTACGTATTTATTATTTTCTAATCGATTTACAAAAGACCATTTCAGATTAGGATATTTGCTGAACTTTAAAATTTCATCATCGATCCTGTACTTGAATATAAGCTTGTTTTTATGAAAGTATTCATTTTTTTAACAAAGCCGTTAGTGTGATTTTTTCCAACTTTGAGGAACAAGTTAAGCAAATGGGTTTTGTGGTAAATGATGGGGAAGCAAAGGTGTTTGATTCGGTACCCGCTAGTGGTATATATCGTAAAGGACATTCGCATTTTCGGTGTAAGGTGACTTAGTATTATTCGGTAGTGGCGAGAATAAGCCACTCATCGGTCTAGAGGAGGCTACTGTATGCGTCTAAAGACGACCCACGTCTGTAATAGCATAATAAATAGGAACGGTTTTTCAAATTTCTATCGGTTAAGTCCACAATTTTGATGTGTACGTGCCATAATATTCCGGATGCCGCGATCATGTTTAACTGTGAACAAGCCGTACGTATGAGAAGAATATTATTAATCTTTGTTTTAGATGTATTTCAAGTTAAAGACAACTCCTTTAAATAAGTACTTGTGGTAAAACCATTTATTAATATTTTTTAACGTCGGGAAGGTTGGTAAGTTATTTAATAATAAATAGTATTTATATATTGTTTCAACATATACTTTCCATTTTGTTTAAATATTATCATTTATATAACGTTTAGTCATTTCGATATTTTAATAGATGATAACAGTTCTTGCCTAACAGTGAACTTTTGCGGAACTTGTGTGAACTTGTACATACATTTTGGGTACCCCAAATACTTAAAACGAATTAAGAATAATAAAGCTTTTTTTGAGTGTCAGAATGTCAAAAATCTTTCAAACATTCTGTTGTTCGCTCTTTCAAAAATCTTTTGTAAGACTTTTAACAATCTTTGTCGGAATTGCCCAGTAAATGTCACGAAATTTCATTTCACTGACGCATTAAACTTACTAATTGTTGGTTTTACTGGAAGTAACGATTTATAAAATATTTTTGGAGACACCCTTATATACCTCATCAAAATAACAAAATATTTATTATAAAATAAATAATTTATAAATTATGATTTGATTATTTGATGGAGATGCAAAAGAAATGCTATTCATTGTATCTTTCGACATACCCTTATATCATAAATTCAAATAATAACATTAATATAGAATATGTTTATTATAGGTTAATGCTAGATTATTTACTGGAAAAATATAAAAAACTATTCACGTGGTATCTGTAATATTATAGAATTTTATCGGTATTCTGTTATTTATATTATGAAATGCATTTAACTTTTTGGTTTATAACAAAATAATATTAATTTATTTAAACTTTCTGTCTTAATCACTCAATCATTTCAATACGTTCCCAGGATAACATGGGGCAATAACGAACTTTGTCACGATTTTTTGCCAGGGTTTTTATTTCTCCAAAGGTTTTTCCGCTTGCTTGTATTTCTTTCTCTAGTGTTCGCTTCCACGTTTGCTTGATCCTACCAGATCTTCTGCTTCCTTGAGGATTCCATGTTAATGCTTGTTTACATACTTCATTTGGTGTCTTTCTCAAAGTGTGCTCGATCCATTGTCATTTACGATTTTTGATTTCGTTTGCTATAGGAAGTTGATGGCATATTGACTATAGTTCAAAATTTCTAATAGTGCGGGGCCACCAAATTTTTAGAAATGCCTTTTAAGGCATTTATTTATAAAGGTTTGCAGTTTATGGATCAGATTGTTAGTGGAAAGTCAGGTTTCGCAGCCGTAGAGCAAAACGCTCTTAACATTGCATTTCACAAAATTTATTTAAAAATAACTTTCAAATGAAATTGTGAATGTAATGAAATATCCTTCAATAGCTCGGTTAAGTAACAACCAAATAATTTAATTTCATTAACTAAATATTAATATTCACTCTTTCCAATCAATTAATTTTATTACTATATTTTTTCAAATTATTAGTTAAATAAGTAAATATAAGAGAAAACATTATTTTATGAGAAAAATGTTTAAATAAATAAATTTACTTGTGAATTTAATAATTAATTCAATGCTTCAATTTAATTTGACTTTCACTCAAGTTGTAACCGCCAACGGTTAACATTAGTAATCCACCGAAAAACATGAGCCACCGTCAAATCTGGGAATACTTTTACACTCCTAAATGTGTATCCAATGAATTTGTTAGTTGGATTTGTTAGTCTGCTCCTGCAGGTCTTAGGTTTGCTGCACACTCACCAAGCACCTGCCTTCAGGAACTCAATACCTTTAAATTTTGTAAAAGCAATTTTTGCGAATAGAAAAGATACAAATACTGAAATTACTTAGGCTAAAGATACGTTTCCTTTTAATTTCATACCATTTAAAATCTGTGTTGTGATGGTGTTACAGTTTGGTTTATCTGTTATATAATCTTGACTATATATTAGCAATAACAATTCACAGCTCCAACAATAGCAAATGAACCAAAAATTTTTGTAGCATTTACATTATAACAAAAAATAATTTTACTTAATTTTTGGCACTAAATTTTTTAATGGTACTTAAAACTGGATGATTTGTTAAAAGCTACTTCATGAGAACAGCTCACTTAGCTGCTCTAAACCTAAGTCGTTTAGACAAATTGACGAAAACTTGTTAAAAATTAATTTTATAACCTTTCTAATACGAATTTTTCATGCTGTTCATTTAAGGTTTAATAATTTTTAGTTTAAATATAAAATTTAATAGTTTCCATTAGTTTAAAAAAAATTCTACAAACTTCATTTAAATATAACCACATTGTATAAAAAGTATACGTCTAAAAAGTGGTAAACATACTAAAAATTAATTTCAATATTTTTGAACTAAAATAAAATATTTGTTTTTTTCGTTTCTGCAACTGTAATGAAAAGTAATTAAATCGCAAATTAATTTCAAAAGCCGGTTAAATTGAACATAAATTTATTAATGAACCAATTAGTTATATGAGCAGCAATTAAGCGAGTTCCCACGAACTAGATTAAATCTGTTTTATAGGCAGTCATTTAGAGGAACATGCTAATAAGGAATCATTTGAAAAGTACGAAGCGGTGCTGAAGGATGGACTACATAGGTGCGAAAGAACAGAAAGAAGAAAAGTAAAAATTAGAATCTATAACCTAAATTCATAAATCAATTTGAACATAATGTAATGATATAGTGGTTTTTTGAAGAGAAGAATAGTGACACAGTAAATCAATAGTTAGTAAACTCAAGACATAATTTATTGTTATTCAAAGGTTCCTTTTAATGAAATTAATAACAGTAGCAACAATGTAATTCACATTAGTAGTTCTTAAAAATACACTGTAATCTTTCTCATAATCTTAGAAACCGATGGCATCAGAGATTTGTATATTCCATTATATTTTGCTCAAATCATCAATAAAATCTAATTTTGATGTTGACTTAATAATCACAATGCCACGCTTCCCACAACGACTAGGCTAGGCGTGTTAATGTTCAACTCATATAGGGATCTGGACATAAGGATATCTCGGGCAAATGCGGGGCGGATAAGTTTGGTAAGGCAAGCACTCTTCGTCTTGACATTCACTTCCCAGATATTGGGCACTTGCAATAGTTAAACTGACGAATTCTGCTGTCAATCACTAGGTTGATCTGATCTAAATTGGACAGGAATCGTACCAATCTGTTACTTTAACTTAGACGGGGTCTGCTTAGCACTACGGTATCAGTGCTAACGGGTCACTGCATAATATGTAGACATAATATGACACTGGGTCTAGCCTAAATTTACTTCTGTTGCGGTTGTGGTTTTGGAGATGAAGAGGAAACTGTTTTCACTCTCATGTGTCAGTGACCATCTTTAGCTAGGAGAAGATTTTTAATGTTCGGAATCCTTTTTCTTACTGTTCTGACCAAGCTGTTATTTTACAAAAATAGGGACTTAACCAAAATTATAGAAGTGTCACGTTGGTTTACCCTTTACCTAATGGGGGAGTCGTTGCCTTTCGGCGTTGATCGTCTACTGACTTTTAAGTTTATGTTCAAACCAATGCTATTCTTGTGGCACCACAACGGACCCTTATTTTACTCAAATTAGTTTTCTTGGACACAAGGCTGACACTCCAACCCCATCTAAACTATTTCTATAATTATAATTTTTTAAAGATCACTTATATTATATATAATTTCTGTCTTATATGCATATTAAGAGTAATTATTTCAGAATAGAGCATGACATTATAAAAGCATTATAAAAGCACAAAACTGTTACGCACCGTGGCTCGCGAACTGTGTAAAATATGTGTATGCTCAGTCTAAGAAGTCATTTAATTAAAAAAAATTACCATATTTGAATCACACGACATAAAAATAGATAACATATATGTATATATATAAATAAGTTTATATATATGCATTATATCTATTAATAGAGTGCGCATAAAATTTGAAAGACCTTCGTAACGTGGGTATTAATTTAAATTGTCTTTACTTATCATCATATATGTCATCTGAAGTAATTTGAT